ACTTCCTTTTTGTTCTTGGGGTATAGAGGTTTACTTGTATTTTGATTTTGAGGTTTTTTATTTTCTCTTTACTTATTTGTAATTCTTTTTTATTCAATATATGAGCTTTGCCCCAAATTTACCCAAAAAAAATAAAATATCAAAATCTTGCATGCAAGACTTAAATGTATTAAGGATCAGTCATAATTAAAAATACCTAACAATGGTTGACTGTTGCAGTTAATGCCATGAACTAAGAGATGATGCATCCCTTATCTCTAAAAAAATTAGTGTACTTTTTTGTTGCGAGAGTGGATCTTATATATGTTAGACTTTGACCTTTATTTTGAACATTTATTGAGTAATTATTAAAATTTAGGGTTTAGGAAGACTACGCCAAAGTCTACCAGCTTGTCAGCTGTCGCGTTTGTTTTTTTTAGAATTCCAAGGCAGAGTTTGAAATTGGGCGACTACGTGGATAGTTGTGGGTTGCCTAGAATAAATGCACGAGTAAATGGATTGCCTAATTGAACGGCGAATGATCCAGGTGCATACCCTAAATCCCGTAGAACCTTTCTAACCATTGACAAACACACCCCACGACTTGCTGAATAATTCGTGGTCGCACTTCTTTACTCATATATTTTCGTTGACCTTTACTCCCAATTAACAAAGACAAAGCACAAGGTTGACCACGTTGGGAGCAGGGGCAGTTCACCCTGAAATAATGCTGCGCTACACGGGCCCATTATATGATATGTTGGCATATGTAATACATATTTATATAAAAACCCTAAACTCTAAGAAATTAAAATTCAATATTATCAAAGTCATCCGTCTTATTTATCTTATTGATTATTTATTCTTATGAAATCGATATATTAATGTCAAATTGCAACAATATATGATTCAATATAAGGTTCAACAAGGCAAAACATCTAGTATTATTGTGGCGTTTTCATTCATTCATATATATTCATCATTATCAATATCATTAAAATGTCTTTGTCATTTTATCATTACATATGAGTTTCAATAATCATTTAAGATTCATCTCTCTCTACTCGTCTGCGTAATTCGATCATTAATTATAGGCTACAATCAGGATAATACCACAAACTATCTTTAAAGAAAAGAATGCCGACCCACTCGCCTGTGCAGGGTATAATGTTTTAATAGCCACCCCAAATTAATTATAGTGTTAATAGGCAGCCTTTCTTGCTTACATGAATCTACTACATTTATTTCATATCAAATGTATCAATCTCCCTTTCATGCATGAAATGCAATATAAACACAAACCAAATTGCAGAAAACAAGATATGCAGGAAATTAAAAACTGCAGAAAATAAATACAAAAAATAAAAGAACACAAACTGGATTTTTATGGTGCTTTGGTCAATTTGACGTACGTCCACTCCCCAAAGTCTTCTTCGAGTATTGAACTAAATAATATTTGCTCTCCTTTAACCCCCACGGCTAGGCGGAGAAGCCCTTATAAATCACTTTCACCAATCTAGTATGACAGAGTAGCCTCCCTTTCATCTCCTCTGTGCGGTAGAGAGCCAAAATCCCTTTCACCTCCTCAGTTTGGCGAAGACCATAAATCCTTTCACAACCTCGGTGCTGCAGCGAGCCAAAATTCCTTTCACCTTCTTACTGCGACGGAGTAGCCCAAATCACTTTCAACTTCCCGATGCGACAGAGTTGTCGAAATCACTTTCACCTTCCCAGTGCGGTGGAGTTGCCAACAGCCTTTGACACCAAAGGATTATTCATAAAGCTTCCCTCAAGACAAACACTATCACATGTAGAAAGTTAGGTACAAGTTTATTGAAGCAACGGTATGAAAACTCCTCTCACACTATCTTGAAAGCCACAAAGATCTTCTCCCTCTCGCACAGTCTCATCCTTTTTCACTCTTTTCTCAATATCCTATCCTCAACACTCTCTCTCAAGAAGAAATACTCCTTTGACTTCCGAAGACACTTCAAAATGAATTAAAAAGAGTTTGATAGCAGGCTTCTAAAAACACTAAATTTTCAACTCTGCTGACTCTATTCGTATAGTATGATTAGTTCATTACCGCCATAGATCATCATGCTCAGTTATAAATAGTTCAGTACATTTAGCTTAAATCAAATATTAGATCGTACAAGACTAATCAAGGTTAATCTAGAGAGCATTCAGATGATTTGTATTGTATGATAAATGATCATTCAATACGATCTTTAATTTATTCAAATGCGATTTAATTCATTAATTACCTGATGATATAAACTTGGTATTCTAATGTCCCAATGATTGCGCCTCTATATTTTGATTATGTGAGTTATCTTTTGTAAAGTGGCATAGCACATCTGATTTACACAAAAATGAGTAAATCTTTTTAATTTGATTGGCTTCCACCCCACCTGAGCTAAACAGAAGGTTCATGGAACCCTCAGTTGGGTTTGGTCGCTAGATATTTCCTCAATTTAGCTATGCTAATTAAGCATCTAATGTCTACCCTAGGATTGATCATGACCTTGATAAATACTAATTTTATGACACGCGCATTAAATGCGCGTTAATAAAATTTTTAAAATAAAAATTTTAAATTTAATAAATAATATCATTTTGTTTAATATTTTAAAATAAATATTAAAAAATAATGAATTCACATTTAGAAAAATTTTCTTTGTTATAAGGTTTTTTATTTAAAATTTTTTGATAAACTTTAAGAGGACATAAAATAAACAAGAACAATATAAAATTTAAGGTGTCATTGCTAACTAAATTCAATCTAAAAATCACACATTTGAGATATTCTTGATCGGCTGCAGCCTAAAAAAGCTAAGCATCAGCCCATAGAAACTCATCCTATATTTTTTTTTATTTTTTTTAACTCATCCTATATTAAATCAACAAACCGATTTCATATCATCATTATCTTTTTTATCAATAGCTTTATCCTACCTTTTTAGAAACCTTTTTTTTTTACTACTCAATTTATTTTTTCCATTCCTACTTGCATAAATATTTTGGAATAATGTACTCATTTTTCCCCCATCAATTTTGTACACTAATTTTATTTGTTGGAATTTATATGTTCGGAAGCTCCAATTCTGCAATTCAATTTCTCTTTCATAATATTGAATTCCTATATGAATCAATGGGACATAATTAGAATAAGGAAATATTATACTCAGGTATAAGCATTATTCTAGACCTTAGTAAGACTATCTACCTTTTCCATCATGTTCATCTTTATCCCTCTTACAACAATCTCCGTAACTTCTTCTACAAAAACTAATTCTATCATTCTCATCTTTCTCTCTCTCTTACAAGAATCTCCACAAGAGTGTACAATAATTCATCTGAGCAGCTTCATATTGAAATAAATTTCATATTTTTCCCTAGTTCTCATAAATGTTAACAGTATATTCATACAAGTCCTACTTCTAAGGTTCATATTGTTCCGCTATCCTTCTTTTTTTAGTTCATGACTCATAAATCTGAAGAACACTCAAATAATCTTCTATCTTCTAATTAAAATCAACATTCACTGCTATTCTAGAATCACAAGAAACTAAAGCAAAAAAGAATAAATGAGAATCCTCTTATGGATCATCAGCTAAGCAAAGATGATGTATGGAAGCAAAATAATCAAGGACAGCCAATTAAGGTGTGAGATATTGTCACTATAGTCAAAACAAGGACAAAGTTATACTGCGTGCTACATGAAGTTCTATATTAAATACATTAGTAAGTAAATCAAATGGAGATTTAAGTTCATTCTATGCAATTCTATGTTTAAGAGAAGTTTCTACCAACAAATTGTTATATCATACCCTCCAATTGTCAAAGTTTAGAAATAAGCTAAAATACTTTTTAATAAAAATGCACCTATGAATTTCATGAAGTGAATTATTTAAAGATAGAAGGCTTAACCTTTCAAAGCATCACCATTTTCATTCCTATAAGATATGCCACTAATACAGCATCTTCTGAAGACCATTCTATTCTCTGTATAAGTGTCCCAGTTTCGTCGGTTAAAATGTATTATTCAACTTGTCCCCAAATCCTCGCTAATTGTTGTGCTGGAAGAAACAGACATTTAAGATCAAAAGATTGGACGGAAAATTTTAGTAGCACTTAGCACATTAAAAGGTAAGAGCAACAAACTTTGCAGCATGTGCTTGGGTGTTATAGTTGAAAGATTTTATTTCTCAGCTTGGAGGGTATAGTATGTTTGGTTTGAAGAAATTTGAACTTAACTGTATTTTGTTTAATAATTTTATATTCGGTCTATAATTAATAGATGAGAGTTAAACCTTGATACTGTAGATTTTTTTTTTTCATACAGTTTCCTACACATTATTAATGAGAAAATTAAAATTATTCCGCTGTCTCGTGTCCAACTTTGGCCTCTTCTTAAGATTTTTTTTTCAGCCAAATAAAATTAGGAAAATAGCACTCAGCTTTTCACAATCAAACGGGTGAGAATAAAGTTGACAAAAATTTCTTTATAACTCTTATTTGCAATAATCTCATTCCAGTTTCAATAGGCTTTATGCTATGGACCCACATAGAGTGGGTTCAGATGTATTTTTAGCAGGGGACAAACTGAGCAATGATTTTTATTAATTTACACGCCTTATCTATTGAATTCTTGTATAGCATAAAACATATTGTTTTACCTTCTTACTATATTCCTGTACGCATCTGCTATTGCCTATTAATGATGGAAGTTCTATGTTAAAACCTATGGAGAGTAATTACAATAACGAACGCATGCTACCCGAGAATAATTTCAGACTCTTCAATCATATAATTCAACAGTAAAAAGAAGCAATTATTACAACATGAAAATTTGGTTTGAAGGAATTGAAAGAGAGAAAACGACAAGGAAATGAAAACTTTATTGAAAATGAAATTAATTTTCACCTGCCACTTTGGTTGAGGATAAGCTGAAAAAAAAAATGTAGCTCTTTTTCTAGGGTTCTTGTATAATGTAGGAAAATTTGTAAATTGAAAAGAAAATTCAATTCTACTTCAGCTTTTGCTTTTCAATGGCTTTAAACAGAGAAATGTAAAAAGATAGGAATATGTGAGTATTACAATAATTTCTTATGACCTATACATGTAAGATGGGAACTATAAGGCAAAAAATATTTCTTTAAGGCTTTAATTCCTCCAGAACAAACGCATCCACCATGAATGTAATAAGTAAATTTAACAATACAACTTACAAATGCGCCCAATTTTCATTCCAGAGTGTGTAGTAGCCCTAAGAGCAGATTGAGCACCAGGACATGGAGTTTTGGTTTTATTCCCCTCGGTGGCCCTGATCATAATATGCAAAGCAGAAATACCAAGTTCCTTGAAAAAAAAAATGAAGAAGAACACCAAATTTAACGACATGCATATAAATGCAACAAACTTCAGAAGGTGGCAATAACTAATTCCACACCTTGCATCGTTGTGCAGCATCATTTGCTGCAAGCATATCTGCATATGGTGATGATTCATCCCGGTCAGCTTTGACTTTCTTTCCTCCTGCAAATGGAATTGCAAAAAAAGTCTCATCCGCAAGGTCAACAGAAGCCTCATTCAAAGAGCAGATAATATCGCAAATTTTTTTGGGCAAGCACAATGGAAGCGGAAAGTACAACACCATTTGAAACCCCAGAATGTATGTTACTTTCATACAAGCCATCAGAAGAGGCATCCTGTTTTACTGAATCTGAAAAAGGGTGCCTAGTAGTGGAAAGATGGGACGGAAAGAAGCGTCAGTATAACAAAACAAGCATGCGTGTTATAACAAAACAACTGAAATTTCTCATCTTGTTAATATCAAAAACAATGTGGTGAGGCTCAACTTCTACACCACGTAACAATATCTTGAAGTTTTGTGGCAACTTCAGATACAAGATTGATGAGTATACGCTGAGTGAATATTGATATCGACCTGCAACATTTGTTTGGGTTAGTTCAGCTTCGGTGCTAAACCTCTTTACTTTCTTTTGCTCTACATGCTGATGTGAAACTAAATGTGATAACAAGAATTGTAATTAAGAGATTAATAAAAGTGGTAAACTTTGCGGACTACCAATAAACTCTTTTGTTTACTCAAATGGAAGTTTAAGAAGATAACATGAGAGATTAAGCAATAGCAATAGGTTACACTTTGAAATTATTAGAACTTGCAAAATAACAACCAAAGATTAATAGGTAATGAAAATAGCAAATATAACAAAGCCTCAAATTTAAAATCTAGATCCTTCACCTAGAGATCCTTCACTCAACTCTTGAAAGTTGAGGCTAGCGGAGGAGGATTGCAAGAACACTTAGAGATGCCACTATCACACAAGTGATGCCGAGAGGACTAGTCGCCGGGGAAGAAGCTGGAGTTGGGGAAGCGGGTGGGTGTCCGATAAGAGTCCACGGAGTTCTTGGTCGTTGAAGCTTGATGGTTCCGGCAAGGCAATAAACTATGTGATTGACGTAACGTTCCACGGTGACGTCGTATTCCCAATCCGGCTCGTAGAAGGGGGAGAGGAAGATGTCAATCTCCTCTTGTTCGGTGTAAGCGAAGCCGTGATCAACTTTCGGATCCGCCATGCATCCTTGCCGGGAGATGGAGTCCCAATGGAAAGAGGAGGGAGTGGAGGTGGCGGCTTGGAAGGAGGGCATTGGGCCGGTGTGAGGACTTGGAGGGGATCGGCTAGGGTGGGAGGCCAAGAGGGAATTGCAGAAAATCTGACGTTGTTTCAGATTTTAGTGGTTTGGGGAGGGATTTAATTTGAAAATTCAAATTAATCCAAAAGGGGAGAGGGGCGGCATTGGGGAGGGAATTGGGGCTGATTTAGTGGGGAAATTGGAGTTAATTTGGGAGAGAGAGAGAGGGCCCATAGAGGGGGCTGACCAAATAAGAGAAGAGGGAGAGGGATTGGTGTTAATTAGGTGGGGCTTACACGATTAATCAAAGATTTGAAGAAAATCTGAAGTAAATTTCAGATTTTATAAAAAGGGGAAGTTTCCTAATTTAAATGCAAGTAATTGGCAATTGTTTGAATTTCAAATTTGAATTGAAATTCAATTATGAAGATTGCCTAAAATCTTGGACTTATTTTAGGAAAGTTATCAATGCCTCTTGGGAAATTTGAATTTCAAATTTATGATCCCAAGAGGGGGCCGGCGGGTAGAGGTGTGGAGAGGGGGGGAATGGGGGGAGACAGGAAATGGGGGGAGGGAGGCCGGCAGCTGGGGGGGGAGGGTGATGGGCGGTGGCCGGTGGCTTGGGCGGCCCAAGGAGGCCAACGGCAAGGGGGATTTTGTGGAGGGCAAAAATTAAGGCCAGGAAAAATAAGAGAAAGACTTGGAAAAAATCAAGGAAGCTACAAACCTCAAGTATCTCCTCCTCAAGAACTCACAAAGAGATCTTGGGAATCTCGGAACTCATAAAGAGATCATTCTCCTCTCATGAACTCACTAAGAGATCAAACAAGTAGTGTAAGCTTTTCATTAACAATTCATCATCCCATACATTGCATGAGGCCTCCTTTAAATAGGCCAAGATAAAATAAATCTAAAATGACACAATACCCTCAGGGCTACATAAATGACTCAATGCCCACGGGGACAAACTAGGAAAATAGAAATACAAGCATAAATAAAATACAAGTAAATCAGAAATATAAAGGCTCTGGATCGTAGCCGTCGATCTGCGTCTCCGGCGATGATACACGTGTCGAAATCTTATGTCCTCATCACATGCCCTCCAGTGATCAGTATATCCTCTGAATCTGTGTAAAAATCAAGCTCCATAACACCATCATCACTATGCCACAGATTGAACACGATAATTTAGTTCCATGATGTCCTTTGTCATCAAATTGCTTCAATAGTTCAGATTCTATTGCTATATTTTTATGTCGTAGTTTAGGGTAATTTATAAAAAGAGAATTCAAAAATCATTGGCTCCATTGATATTGACCAAAGATTAAATGTGAAAATGAGTTCAAAAAACTAGTGAGTTTCGTATATTTACTGAATATATAATTTCAAGCAAAGGATAAACATAATTATAATAAACAGAGCATCATTTACAAATAATCTCCTCACAAAGAAAATTTATATGTTATAATTTAGATGTCATCTGTGTTGCACCGATATACCTATTTATGAAGGCGTGCTGTATCCGATACACCGATACACGGATACACCTCCGATACTCCACCGATACGTGTCGGATACGCCAAAGCCGTATCCAATTAAAATACTATTTAATTTCAAAAGGACAAGCGTATCGGATACGCGTGTCCGTTAAAAAACAAAAAGAAATCCGAAAAAAAAGACGTGTCGTATTTGCTTCCGCGGTTGCGAGCAAAATTTTCTCATTTTCGAGATGGATTTGAGTCTCTTGATCATATGAAAATATTTAATCTTTCACTTGATGAGTCTGAATTAGAAGCTATGATATTTATTGAAGATGATATGGAAGTTCAAAGACAAACCAATGAAGAAGATAATTATATCATTCCTTCTATTGAATAGTTGAAACTTCATGTGCTAGATAATTTATGTTTATGCTTTTGTTGTTGTACTAGACATTTAATGCTTACTTATATTTTGATATTATAAGCTACAATGCTACAACAAATGATGTTGTTTCCATTTTTTTGTAATTTCAAATATTATGTTTTGATTGCTTTCTTAATTTTTATGTATAATTTATAAATTATAATGTCGTGTCCGCGCCGTACCTGTATCCTGTATTTTTAAGAATTGACATGTCCTGTATCCGTATCGTATTGTATCCGTGTCGCCGTATCCGTATCGGTGCAACATAGGATGTCATACATAATTTAGAGAAAAAAAAATTATGAAGTAGAATAAGATATTGGAGATGTCAAATTTAAGAAAATATGCCCATTCAAGGGAGGTAAAATTATTTGGAATGATGAGGATTAATTTTGATGTCTCATACAGTGCTTGCTGCTTATTAGTTTTTTGGTATTGCTTTAATAAATCTAGAAAATAATTGGAGAAACTAATCAAAATAAAGACATAAAAAATAAATGAAATGCAACTCTAAATTTAAACAGAAATCTATACTAAAATTTGTAGCAAGAACACATAAGAAAGAAAAAGTACCTTAACGAACATTCAAGAGCTGCAACCAGATTAACACAAATTACTTTTAATGAACATTCAAGAGCTGCAACCAGATTAATACTTTTAATCAAATTGCAGCCAGATTGAAACAATGAGATGCATTCAAGAACATAAATATCAAATAATATAGAGTGATGGAAAAATACATATAAATTTGAATTCAGCAAGCAATCTAATTACTCCAATTAGCCCATCAGGTCTCTGGAGAAATCCTAGAACTAAGCAATAATAGCATCCCCAAATGAAAGCACAAGCATAAAAACCCCACTTCTACAAATCTAGAAGAAAACAAGATCCGATCAACCATATATGTCCTAGTATTAGACCCACTTCTCTACTCATGAAGATCATAATCTAGCTAAATGTGGTTCTAATGTTAGAAAAAGATACCTGTGACTACATATCAGACCTGAATCCGATATTTTAATTAACAGAAGTTTAAGATTCTTAACTATCAAATAACACCTTCAGTTCAACCATTTGGCATAAGATATTTATCTAAATTGTAGCAATATTTGGTATTTTATAACTGCAACTGATTACCGTACAAGAAAAGGCATGAAGAATAGCATAAGGGTTACTTTGCTATAGGATCAAGTTTATGATTATAAATACTACATAGATATTGAATGCAAAATTTATTGCAAACTGTGATTCAATTTTTTACAAGAGCTACAGTGTAAAGTAATATGTGCATTTCGCCGCACAAAATGATTTAGGATTAGGTAAAAAATGCACTTATGTTACTCTTCAATCATGTGCATTATATAAATTAGGAAAGTAATTAATTTATTTACAGTTTTAAATCGAAAAATGCATCCTTAAAAAAATGATAACGCAAATGGGTATTGTGCATAAACTTTGTTGCCAAGTCATACAAACTCTCTTCTATATCAAATTTTATAACTGCAACTGATTACCGTACAGCTTATTGAATACATTTTATAATCAATATGTGATTTCAAGAGCTGCAACAGAGTAACATAACCAATTGTGCAAATGAATGACAGATTTATGATTATATATAGATTAGATTTATGCTCATGAGCCTCTTGAAGCTGTTTTGAAGAGTAACATAAGTGCAGTTTTTACTCTTGACGGATGTCCTGACGATCCTGATCATTTAATGTGTGCATATCGAAATTAAATGCAAAGTAATATTATATTTGCTTATTTTTTAACAAAATAACTTTGCAGACAACCTGTAGCAAATTGTGCATAACACTCACTAAGAGATCAAAGAAAGCTAAAATTTTCTTCATAATTCATCATTAGAAAATAATACAAATAGTAGGCCTTTATATATAGGCCTCCAAAGCACAAAATGTAAAAGACACAAATGCCCTCAGGCTACAACATGACACAAATCCCTCATAAGAGCACAAGTGGAAAACTGAAAAAATAATTGAAAGAAATGCACTAAAACATCATAAAAGAAACTATAAATCGTAGCCATTGATCTACAATCCCGCCGATGGTAAGTATGTTGAAATCTCCGATGGATGTCCTCATCAGTTTCCTAAATTAACAAACATATTTTTAGAAACCCCTCCAATCACTCTAAATCTAAAAATAAAATCAGATTTAATTCTCTAATCACATTTAATATTTGGGTCCACATACATTATATGTGGACACTTCTCTTCCCTCCCCATATGGCCGACCCCCCTCTTTCCCCTCTTTCTAATTAAGTCCTTCCTTATTAAGGATTCCAATTAAGGAGCTAATCAACCACCTCTCTCTCATCCTTCCCTCCTTATTTGAATTTTAAAATTCAAATCCCACAATCATAGGAAATCTGAAATTTAATTTCAGATTTTCCCTTTTAATCCCTTTCTCTCCCTTACCCAATACTTGACATCTAAAACCTAAAGGGATCTCATTTCCCTAGTCTTGGCCGAACCCACCATCCTCCCTCCATTATTTCCCTAATTTCCTAACCAAAAGCTCCCCAAGACCGGCCGACCCCTCTCCCTCACCATCAAACCGCCGGCCACTCGGCCATCCTGGAGTTGAAGCAACTTCTCTTCCCCATGGATGGCCGATCCCGAGCGTGACCATGGATACGTCTACGACCATCAAGGCTTAGTGGATATTCTACAATCTCCTTTCTTTAACCTCAATCTGGTAGTTGACGACACCGTCGACGAATACGTTAACCACATCCTCCTCACCCTAACATCTTCCATTGAAGAATACCAACCTTCCAGACATTGGCGAATCATCGGACATCCACCCGCGTCTTCCCCTCCGGCTAACTTTCCGTGGATCAAGACCGTAGGCATCCTCTTTCTTTCGGTGGCATCTCTAGGATTGCTGAAGTTGTTCCTCCGCTAACCCCACTATCAAGAGTGAAAGAGATGGAAACTCGAAGGTAAATTTTCTATTTGTTAAACGGTGGATTTTGTTATTCTGAATCTAGTGTTATTACGACTTTTTGTTCTTATTTTAAATTGTTCTATTAATCTTTTGTATAATTGATTACCAAAGCATAACTGCAACTAAGAACTCCTAGATCCTTTTTTTGTGAAACATTGAGCTTACAATTACCAAAGCTTTACAACTTGTTATTAATTCCTACACAATTCTTTGTTTTCATATATGTTCACATCAGTTATTGAGCATATTTGCATTAATTCAGGAAGAAGATTGATTTGGTAGAAACTAATTGAATGCAATTGAAAAAAAAAAAAAAGGAAACAAATATGAGCTCTTTTAGATAGAATTGAGTTTTCAGCTTATTTATGAGTGTGGAAATCACTGATTGATTAGTGCCTTTGATGAGAATAAAGTCTACATAGATTAGAATAATATTTTATGTGGAGTCTTTGGAGAAAATTAACAATGAGGGATTCGAATTGCTAAACATAAAGCCTTTGCTGATAAGATACATTAGAGAATGTGATGAAACACTGTCTTGATGCCTGTTTCAATCATAGATGGTTTCGCATAGCTTGCAGACATATGTTTGGTGATGAGAGACAATAAAGCAAAATAGTTCTCTCATGTTAAGAACCTCATGAATTTTTCCATTTAGAAAAGTAAAGAAGTCCAATTGAAAGACTAAACAAATAAGATGTAAAGCAACAGTGAGAAGTATCCAAATCATTTGCATCTTTGTGACATGACTGAATGTTTCAAAGTAATAGTATCATATTCTTGATTAAAACCTTGGACAACAAGACGGAGTTTTGTATCAATCCACCTTACCACCGAGCTTAAGCTTTATTTTACTAGTCCAGAGACAAACTGGGTGATGGAATGAAGAACCACGCCCCTTGTTGCTACAATGATAGAATAGAAAGTTGTTAGACATAGCAAGGCGTCATTCTGGAAATTTAATCTCCTAGCATAGCAAGTGGGGGTGGATTAAAGATTAACATGAAGATTAAAATTTGTTTGGGCTTTAGATTTTTTACTTTTAAGTCTAGTTTGCATGGGATGAGAGTTAATAGTTCATGAAGAGAAGATGAAGGATGAGTAGAGAATTTAGAGTCAATTGAGGAGATGCGTTGATTCGAGAAATATGGGGATTGTGAATGTGTTGGAGTTATATTTGAAGAAGTGGAGAAAATAGGTGGAAAGGTAGTTGCTGTGTAGTTTGAAGTAGAGGGATTGAATGTTGTGATGATGGAGGATAAATAGTATAAGTGAGAGGAGAGCAAGGTGTATTTGACATGGAATTTAACTTGGAATATGAGATTGTTTAGTAGGGATATGTATGTTCATAAAAAAACAACATGATGAGAGAGATAAAGGGATCATAGCAGTGATTTCCTTTGAGAAAAGAAGAGTAACCAATGAAGACACGTTATGTAGAGCGTGCTGAGAGTTTATTTGCAGTTTGTGGTTAGAGCCTAGGAAAATATAAGATAAGTGTGGTTGGGAGTCTTTTAGTTTTGTGGATATGGAGAGTAACCAGTTGATAACAAAATTAGCTGTAAGAAGAGCATCTATCTAAAGGTGAATTGGTAGATGAGTTTCAAGAAGAAGGGAGCTAGCTATTTTTATTAAATGGCTATGTTTTAAGTCAGCTATCTCATTTTATTTATTTTGTGGGGGGGGAACGGATGTACCTCAAGGAGGAGCAATGCTGGACATGCAAATCCTTTGGTGAAAGATTGAGGTTGTGAGAGGGAACATGATAAAACCCACTACTGTCGTGACTCAAAAGAATGATCTGGTTGGTCAGGAGACCCATGATTGAGCATTCCGAAGCATCAGAGAAAATGAACATTTTATCATCAGATTTCAATTTGTTGATGTAAATAAGATTATAAGAAATTGACGGAACATGTAGAAGGTTATGGAGTATGAGCTTACTATTACAATTAGAAGTTCATAGTAGGCCTTGCCCGCTACTATTGATAGATAGAGAAAATCCATTATCAACTGTGATTGTGTCTGATTTAATATATTGTGTTCGATTCTTAATTTTCTACAAATCTACGGTTCTGTGTGATAATACATTTGTGTCTAGAAACCAATCTTTGTTGTTTTGTTGAGGTTGTGTGAAGATTCCAATGACAGTAGCTATAGAGGGGAAGAAATATATTGTAGATCACACATATGCTAGCACTTGGTAGCAATATGTCAAATTCTATCACAGATTTAACAGGTTGGTGAGCGTGTTGAGGTTTTCTGTCAATCTTTGTAAGGTGATCCAACTCCACGCTTATTGGAAAAGTGAGGATTATGCCCGCATCCTCACCCAAAGCAACTGCCATGGCCGCGTGTGGCTGAAAGAGCTTTTGAGTAGTTAACAGTGGAGATAGCTTTAGCTTTTTCATTATTATGTTGATTTCTTCACTGCATAGCAATGAATATAAGTCATCTAGGCTGAGCGGAATGAGTTAGGTGTATATAGCTGTTTCCAAGACTTGATATGAAAGAGACAAACCATTGAGTATGTCAAATATGATGGTTTCATTTTCAACATGAGATACAGCTACAGTAATTTTATCGCCCAAGGATTTGATGGAAGATAGGTATTATGTCGTGGTTCAATTCTTCATAAAAATATTTTGAATCTCATTTTTGAGTTAAATAACTCTAGAGCAGTTGGTAGGTCGTAAGCATTTTTTGGGCATTGACTAAATCTCAAAACAAAGAATTCAAATTGAGAATGTGATATGCCGGTTCAATGTGAACCGGCCCAGCAAGCCCCCTTTGGGCTGGCTTAGTTTGTGTGTAGGAGGCAGAAGGAGTCTGCCTCCTCTCATGGTTCCACCCAAAGGGGTGGGCCCCACTAGTCCAAACAAATTAAAATTGAAAAGGAGTGGGCGGCTAGGGCTTGGGAGGGAAATTAAATTAGGAAAACTTTTGTATTAAAGGGGAGGAGAGGATTAGGGATGATCATATTTTGATTGATTGGAATTATGTTTCTTGGTGACTTGGGCTCTAGACTCTCTTGTCTAGAGATTCGAGAGAGACAATCCTCCTTTCAAATTGAGTATCTCTTGTATCTTTGCTTTGTTCTTGTTTCTCTTTGTTTGTTATAAGATTTGCTATCGTTTGATTGTTCTTCCACCACGATTCCTTCGTTTTCTCGCTGTTTTTACCGATTATTGTTAGGTTTGCTTGCGAACTCAAGTAGATCCGATAGGATTACTTGCGAACTCAAGTATTTCCTATCAGAATGTAGGGTAGAATGGTAGGGGTGATTATGGAATAGATTGAAGCAGCTAGTTATTGATCAAGGAGTTGCCAAGCATTGTATTCTAGATTAGGTGAGATTTCACCTTTAGCAGAGACAAGTAGCGTGGTTAGGAAGCTTGTTATTCGATTAAGAAACCATTCAAATCCATTAGCTGTGAACATTTTCAGGATTTGAAGTCTCTAAATTGGATAGCTGTCACTGTGAGTTGGATGTTTCCAATATGTTGGAGATATTTTAGACATCAACATATGAGATTGGATCCAAAAATCATATGCAAAGCATGGGCTACAGAGCCCTGCATTGGGTACCCATACCCAACCCACCCATACCCAATGGGCATGGGTGGGTATGGGTACGCCCATAGCCTCGTGGGTGGGTATGGGTGGGTACTCAACATCAGAGGATAACCAATTTACATTACTAATCATCATATACATGCAGTATATTATAATAATCCTTACTACATAGTGCGCAACACTGAACCGCGTCACGACCATAATAAATTTTGATATGTAGCTTAAAAGTTTGCAGTCAGAGAAAATGGCAAAAAACCTCAAGGCCACTATTCTATGGCAAACTGCATTCAATAAGCTTGGAAAGTGGGTGGGTGTGGGTGGGTATGACATCCGGAATGTCATAATAGGTGGGAGTGGATGGGCAAAGCCCGCCAGCGCAGAGCGTGGGTACCCAATGGGTACCCAACCAGGACCCCATGTAGGGCTCTGATGGGCTACAAACATGGTGGTACAACAAATAACTAGGAAGCCTATCAAAGAAGAAGGCACAAACACATTCCACAAGCATAAATGACAAATGGGTTCACATATGTAATAAAGCACTAGTATAGTCTTTCTTTTAAGTTTGGTTATTGTAAACTTCGTTTATCCAAGTATAATAAATACACCACTTATTATGAGAAAAGGCATGGAATGAAAATATTTCTGGTTTCTCCCTATCTAGTCTCTTTTCTTCCCTTCTTCTTCCTTGAGGAGTCTACACCTACTAGTCTTTTCCTTCTTGATGTAGATCAAGAAGCATAACAATGGCGCTCTCATTGAGACAGCTCCCTCCCTCCTATTTTCCACCATCTTGGCCCACAACCCAATAGATTTTTTTCTTTTCTCCCACTGCGGTTTCCAAAATCTGACCAAAAACAGCAGGATTCCACCCCTTCCACAGGAAGCAGCCCTCACTTCAGCCAACATACCATCCAGCATCCCACCTGCCGCAAGAAGCAGGTTTCTTGGCTGCAGCCGCACACCCTGCTACCTTCAAGTCTCCACAGGAATCACTTAGCCATCAAAAAAATCACTCCCTGCAGTTATTAGCATCCAAGAACCAATCTCCACATCTTCTTCCATAAGCTGCTGCCCTCCAAGAATTTGCCTTCAGTTCTTCTTTTCAGCAGCAAGAACCAGCCAGGGGTACTAGTCCCTTCATTTCCTTCTTCCCACTAGCCAGCATTCCTTCCTCCAGAACATTCTAGCCGCATTTTAAAATCAGCCGGTCCTACGACAGCCCAAACAAAAGCAGATTCTATAACACCCCACAGTATCACTATACTATACTGTAGAGTGTAACAATAATCATTATAACATTTTCATCATTTACCTCTCATTTCTGTTGAGTTCATTTCATATCTAAATAAAAGATCATATAAACATCATTTGGAATAACAAAGGAAGCATCTAATAATTATCCAATTTCATCACATCCAAGACTTTATACAGAGCCACTAATGAAATCCAAAACAATTCAAAGTATAACAACATTAAAAAAGTTTACTAACCTCAAGAGTAGATTTCAAAATTTAAATAAACATTGACATAAAACTTAAATACTTACTTATCTATCTTCCTCCACTTTTTCTTTCCATTTTCCTGTAACAACAACCAGTAATGAAAATACTGGTGAGCTGTGAGACCCAGTAAGTTATGCAGTTATAAATAGAAAATTTAGAACAGTAAAACATAAATAAAAATTTAATTACTAGAGAAATAGGAGCCTGTTCGACAGGATGCTTTTGTTGACATTACCTTTAACTGTTATCTTAGATCCATACTGAATATCAATTTTCTCATTAAAATGTTTGGCTATTCTTCTATAAATAAATTCAATGGAGCCCAGGAAAACCTGGCATTATCGCCATTGAATTTCATAAAGGTCCCTTTTGCCTTTTTAGGGGTCCCTTTTGCCCCACCTGCTATGCAGGTATCATTTCTTTTGGGGTCTCTTTTGCCCCACTTACAAGGTAGTTACATATTTGGGAACCCTTTTGTCCCAACTATCCTTGTAAATCATACATCATATACATATAGCCAAACTTTATGTTAAATTGATATTCAATATACTTTTATAACATAACTCATACTTGTATTGTTGCTTTCATAAAGATCTTTATATGCAACTGTGTACCATATTTTAAGAATGGAGATTCTTTTCAAAATATTTCCAACTAGTAAAATCTTTAATGAAACATAACAACTCTTATTTGAAAATTTCATGATTAAAATATATAAGAGGTCTTTCATATATGAAAATTAGGTTAGGAACATCTTTTAGCAGAAAATTATTTGTGATACACATTTATCGTGCATTCATTCAACTACTAATATATAATGCAAAAGTAGCAAGAATTTCATATTCAATATACTTTTAATTTGCATTAGTTACCTTATTGAAGGTTTGCTTCTTCCAAACCTTCACTTCTTACTTTTCTTCTATTATAAATCACTCCAAAGCCTCCTCTTTGGATAAGACTATATAATCTATATCACCCTAAATTATGATTTGCATAAGAACTTTACTGAATTGAACTAGTATAAAAGATAGGAAAATTTAGAATTCTTACCTAACAATATCTTCTCCACAAGCACTTCACTGCACAGAAATCCGAATTACACTACTTTCACTGACTTCTCTTCCGGTCAATAGCGTTGAAATCCTCTTGCACTATCAACCCAACCATTTCCCTTCAGCATTTTTGCCGCAGAACTCTTTCTCTGATCGAATACAGTAGCAATGCAGGAAGCACTAAGCCAAACGCTATGTGCCGAAACTCCTTACAGGTTCCATCTGATGGCTTACGTGAAAACTATAAACAGAGAAGGGAAATTTTTGTTGCTTGCGTGTATTCCAACCAAGATAAGGATAAAATGGGCCCACAAAGTAACTGCCATCAATTTTTCAGCCATATAAAACGTTTTTTGGGAAATTAAGGAGTAATTATCCTAATTTTTAAAATAGTTATATAGTTTTCGTAACAGGAATTTAAAATATTAATTAAATTGATTATTACCTGAATTTTCAGATTATTACAGATTCAAGACAAGCAGGTCCTCCATCAGCAACAGCAGCTACCTGTTGTCCTCCACTCTACAGGTCATCCGTCAACTGCAGCCCTCCGCAGAATTCAGCCGCAAGAACCTGCCAGCAGCCACATCCAGTCCAAAATCTGTTGCATCAAAAATTTATTTTCACTGACAGCAGCACTGCTAACTGCATCTCCTTATACCAGCCATTGTTATCAAGGACCACTTCTTGTTTTTCTTTTCCCACACCATAACCCATCATAAAAAACGCTGATTTAGCAAAAACTATCCAAACCTTACAAACCAATCAAAATTTACTTTTCTCAGAAATACAAAAATCCCTGCAGCAAATGAATGTTCAAATTGTCTCCATTGGCTCATCACTTCAACATGTCCATACTTTCAGCATTCTATTGATAAAAAACTTGATAGTTTGTGCATTGACCTCCCACCTCGACTCCCTCAAGATCCTTCGTCTTCTTCTGCCGGCATCCTTGGTTCCTCCGAATGAATCCCTTTTCCATAACCATCACCTTCAACGACCATTTACTATCATATTTATCTTCTATCCTTATATCAACTAGTTAACATCCGTCATTACAATTCTCCACATTTTCATAAGGATGTTATTCATAATCCCAACTCTTTTTCTATTCCAATATTGCTTCTTCATAAACTGGATGGTACTTGAAATTTTTTCATCAATTCTAAAGCCCTTAATATGCTCACCATTAAAGATAAATTTCCAATTCCAATATTACATGAATTTTTTGATGAATTACATAGAGTTTTTTTTCAAACATCAATTTCGTTCTCTCTCAATAAGTAATAAAGAAATGTTCATCAAACTATTCATGACAGCCACTCTGAATTTCTCCCCCTCTTCACCTTTTCCTTCTCTCAACATTGAGGACAAGGTTATTTTAAATGGCATTGAGAGTGTTAGACATCAGCATATGGGATTGGATCCAAAAATCAGATGCGAAGCATGGGCTACAAATATGGTGGGACAACCAACAACTAGGAAGCTTACCAAAGAAGAAGACAAATACATTCCATAAGCATAAATGACAAATGGGTCCACATATGTAATAAAGTGCTAGTCTAATCTTTCTTTTAAGTTTGGTTCGGTAAACTAGTTATATATTGTGAATTTGGTCTACCCAAATATTATAAATACACTTGTTGTAAGAAATAGGCATTGAATGAAAATATTTCTGATTTTTTCCTCTTTATTCTCTTTTCTACCCCTTCTTCTTCCTTAAGGAGTATACACATACTTGAAAGGTGCATTCCCCTTCGTGATGTGGATCAAGATGCATAACAAGATATGGTGAGGTGTAGTGATGTGGTGTACATCTCACCATCACTGTAACAATTCCACACACCGTTTATCTTAATATGCAGCTTTTTACCTTTACTGTTATTCTGTATTTTTTTTTTAAGTTTTAGTTGGTTACAGCACTTCTAGTGAAGGAATGGAAGGTAACAGGTGAAATATAAAGTAGGTAATATGTAGAAAGGGAGGCTACCTACAGGGATATATATACAAAGAATTTTCTATTGCTCATTCCTGTTGTTAGGTGTTATGCAAACAAACACAGCAAAAATAAAATCACAGAAATCACACAACACAAACATAATAAACACGATGATTTACGTGGTTCGGCGAAGATGCTTGTGTCCACGGAGAGGGGATGATGATTAAGGGAATTACAATGAGCTCTTCTCTCCCTCCACTCATACAACAGCAACCCTCCACTCATACAACAGCAACCCTCATGGCTCAATTTATAGATTTGAGCCAAAATAAATTATGAAAAAATTTCATAATCTATTTCTAATCAAATCTCAATCAAATTCCTAATTAATGCAATAAATAGATCCCATAATTAATGCATCAATCAAATCTCCAATTGAATATCAAATTGTATCTCAAATCAAATCAACTTAGTTATGAAAATAATTAATTACCTGATCAATTACAATAATGAGCCATTAAAAGCTTTCCAAATAAAAGCTTATTTCAATTTGGAAATAATTTTAAATCAACAATCTCCACCTCATCTTTAAACTCATAAAGTGGAAGATGATAAATCAGGCTCCAATATCAAAATGATTGCACCCAGATGATTGCCTGCATACCCCCCCCCCTCCCAAGGGATAAAGTTGAGCGTAATTCTTCAAACAACTGGACAATCAATCATGAGTCTGTGAGCTCTAAAAATTCGGCCACATCCTCCCCCGTTGCTTTTTCGGGAGAGTTTTAATGAATTAACTTTCGGGATAAATTTTGGAAGGTAGACGGGTTTGAAGTAGATAAGACGCTACCCAGAGATTTCGCCCTCATTTTGCGAGGACTTTATGATCTGAGTTCTGGTTTCCTATAGGCGCAAAACCCCTTATAGTTAATTACCACTCCCGGTAACGAGAGAGAACTTTCTATTAGGGTTAGTCATCAATCAGATACGTAGGAACACATGTTATCTGTCATATAGTAACAGCAATGGGAATTTGGAATTGGAAGGGTTAATATTTAAAATTGAAAATTTCACCATCTTGCACTTAAAGCGGATGATGGGGGAATTGATAATGGACACGATCAAGATTTCATGGCTCCGTCGTCCCGGGCCATCGTGGTCCCTGGTATACTTAGTCAGAGAAGGTAGTCGACCCAACCTAATAAAAGGAACCTTGTCGACAGCCATGGGTTGCTTCGTTACAGAGTACCTTGTAGATCTGCGGTGGATATTTGTCTAAGGGGACAAATTTGAATCTACCTTAGCTAACAGAGAGCTTTGTGCCCTATCAACTATATCATATTGATTCATATCTCAAGGTTTTGATGTCACTAAAGAACGTATTGGCTCTGAACATAACCATAATTTAGTGGTGTCATTTAACGACAAAACCACTTAATTCAAAGGGCCCCGAGTCATAAATGTTTACCTGTGATGCCATTTGGTGGCGAGACTACCAGTTAGAGGATATGTACCATGTCATTACTAGTAGGAGATTGTTTGAGAATAGGTCCTAGTGATATTCTCGACCAAATATTAACTCTTTGTGAGCTAAAGTACATTTCAATTTGTTTACCTCTACAAACTATTACGGAGGGTGGATGGATTTTGTTTTAAGTGATTGATGGTTGAATTTCGATTTTAAACATTTGGAATTTTATGATTTTTGGATATTTTAAATTTTGGTAAGCATTTGGGTGGAACTTGGAAAGCATTTAAATATTTGGAATTAATCCCTTCGGTTGAGATCTACGTTCAACACGGCCATCATCGGAGTGTTTGGGGGTCATTTCTATTTGTGGCTTAAACCTCGTCAACTCTGTCAAGCTGTTGACAGAGGCTCGTTGCTGGCTTTACGATTTTGTTAATGAATTTTCTTTATTGTAGGCTTTGAAGGCCTTATATGAACGTATTAAATAAATATTCCGATCGACACCCTAACCGTATATCTGTTTGATAATCCGAGCCGTTCCGACTCCTATCTATCCCTATAGAAGGATTGGACTCGAATTACGTTCATTTATGGACCCGTGTAGCATCCTTAAACATGATTTGTGTACCAATAACACGCTCGTCGGGGGCCATGTGGGTATTTGGGGGCATTTTATAATTATTTGTTGAACCTTATTGACTCCTATTTAGATGCATAGAAGGATCGGGTTCAAATTTATTAACCTGCGCAGCATCCCTAAACATCACGCGTGTTCCAACAACATGCTTGTCGGAGCCCATACGGGTTGTGTGATTGCACATGCCTTTTCTGTACCCAAGTGTATACATATTATAGTTCATGTCCAAGGGGCATTTTTGGAATATTTGTAAACGCCTTCTGTCCACTTGCATGGATGTTGCGGATCCGGTGGCGTGTTGTAGCAACTTGTGGATTGAGTTATTTGTCGCTTTGTACAGGGAGACTGTTCGTTGCATGCCACTTTTCCTTCATCTATAAGGAACTCATGCATTTAATAGATTCCTGATTGGTGTCGGCTACGAGGGCACCTTTCACATTCCTTAAATGTTCCTTTTCACATGTATATGTGACATACATATCTTCCACAAGTTGACCAACATCAGTGGTATGCCTGATATCATGTCCACATCTTTCTTTCATCTGTTTGTAAGATCATGGTTAATATTATCACAAGTCCTTGATTTTCACCTTCGGGATTGATAATTGTGTTATAGGTTCCTTTTCCTTACTTATAGATTGATTGACTTGAGCACTATGAGTCTCACATTATTCATTTGTTGGAAAATTTGTATGATCATCTACACTTATATTGTTGCATTCTCTTTGGTTTCTGCGGATCAATGCTTGCAAGTAGATCACATGTCCTTGATTTTTATTGATGATTGCTTGAAATCAAATGATGCTTGAATTCTTGTTCATCATGAGTTCTATGTCCGCTCATTCTCATTAGTTTTCAATATTTGTAAGGAACTAAAATATTCACTTATATGTCACTTATATATGAAGACCTCCTGCCACGAGTTCCATGTTTCAATATAAATTATTTTTGGAATATTGTCCACTACAAGTATTTCACTTGTTCATTGAAGTTGTCCACAACCTTTATCTACATATTAACTTCCACTAGAATGGATCGAATTATAACTTAGCATTTTGTACTTTCAATTTACTGTACAATTGTAAACTTAAGGCCCAATTCATTATTATATAAATTCATTTCAAGTTAAGCTTGATTCCCTATGCTCATTTGTTTGAGTCCAAGTTCAATTCGAGTTCAGTTCACCTAATGCTCAGTTCAAGGTGATCTTGTTGAGTTCAAATTCTTTGAATCATGTTGAAGTTCATTCAGCCTTCTATGATCCAACTTGAGTTCAGGTTCATTTGTAGTCTCCTGGGGTTCATTGTTACTTGTTCGTCTCATTTGATGTTCATTAAAAAGATCTCAATCTTTGATTAACATTTGCATGAGTACATTTTTTTGTTAATTAAGGTTTGATTCTCTGTGGTCCAAATTGCAAATTCAAATCAAGTCCTTGTAGTTCATGTAAGTTCAAAATCAACTCAGTCCAAGTCCCATGTATTTTTTCTGAATTCGGCAGCTGCCCGACGTCTCCCCTGTTTAGGGGAAAAACCAAGAGACAGCCTTCCCCTCCACACCACATGAGCGCTTCAGGTAGATGTCGAGTGACACCGCGGCTGTATTTTCTTCAATCCCCACTACGCTACATGAGCGTTTAAGGGTCTCTGGCACCTGCTGAAAAAAAAAACACTTACTTCCCCGCGTATAGGTAATTAGTTTTTGTTCCCCTTGTTGAAACTTGTTCAATATGAATTAGGTTGTTAGACCTAAGCTTATATCCCAGCGGCTAACCAAGAGAGAGGATGAATTGATAATTTTAAATTTTCCTCTTATTAAATTTTAAACCGATAAAAACTTATGATAAATTTTGAAAAATATTTTTCAACCACAGATGACACAAAAATAGTAAAATAAAAAGCAGTGGAAAAATAAAAAGGAACACAAGATTTATAGTGGTTCAGTCAAACACGACCTACATCTACTCGCCGGAGGCACCCTCCGAGTATTGCACTAATACCACTAGTGACTCTCTTTTTGCCCCCACAGCAAGGAAGAGAAGCCTTCACAAAACTCTCTTCCACCACTACCCGATGCGGCAGAGTCCTTTCACACCCTCCAAGTGTAGGCAGAGTACCTCCCGCTGTTCACACTCTCTAAGTGTAGGCAGAGAACCCTTCATCCTTTCACACTCTCCAAGTGTAGACAGAGTACCTCCCACTGTTCACTCTCCAAGTGTAGGCAAAGAACCTTCACGTTGTTCACACTCTCCAAGTGTAGGCAGAGAACATTTTGTCCTTTCACACTCTCCAAGTGTAGGCAAAGAACCCTTCGTCCTTTCACACTCTCCAAGTGTAGGCAAAGTACCTCCCGCTGTTCACACTCTCCAAGTGAAGGCAGAGACCTTCACGCTGTTCACACTCTCCAAGTTAGGCAGAGAACCTTTCGTCCTTTCACACTCTCCAAGTGTAGGCAGAGAACCCTTCGTCCTTTCACACTCTCCAAGTGTAGGCAGAGAACCTCCACGTTCACACTCCACGAGTGTCGGCAGAGAACCGGATCATCTTGAAAGATCTTCTCACGAGAAATCTAGAAGTACGAGAGAAAAGAGTGAAGTAATCACAATTCATAATTGGAGATGCTTACCTTTGAGTACCAAGTGAACCCTTCACGTTCCAGTAGTAAGAATCCTCCTTCAAACACTCTCTCACACTCTCCTTCAATCTCCCTTCAGTTTGCATGAAGACCAATGAGCAAAAAGATTACAAGACAGTTTACAATGGACCTTTTATATGAAAGACACGAAAAATCGTCCAAATACTGCAATTTTCAATTTTTGATCATACTCGATCGTCCCGTACGATCGTTATTTCGTACGTACGAACAGTGTAAAACTGTTGCGTATGAACTCTATGTGCATTGGGACGAAATGACTTCATACCCGATCATCATCCCATACGAACTATGTTCGTCCGGTACGAACTGTTATTTTAAAGCCTCATTGAAAACATAACTGCAAACGGTCCATATGTTTAAAGAACAGAGAACATCGTCCTGGGACAAATGTTCATGTTCGTTTGGACGACCAGTACGAAGCTTGAAACCAGAGCACTTTGTCTAGGGACGAATGGGCAAGTTCGTCTGGACGATCAGAACAAAGCTTAAGTCCAGAGAACATCGTCCTGGGACGAATGGGGTATTTTGTCTGGACGAAGTGTTCAAGTCAAGAGTTCAGAGAATATCGTTCTAGGATGAACTGAGTAAATCGTCTGGATGAATAGTTCAAGTTGAGAAATCAAAGAACATTGTCCAAGGACGAATAAGGTAAATCGTCTGAACGAATAGTTCAAGTCATGGATCCAGAGAACATCATCCTGGGACGAACGGGACACTTCGTCTGGACAAATAGTTTAAAATGAGAAATCAGATAACATCATCTAGGGACGAATATCGAACTTCGTCTGGACGATCAGAACTTAGAAAAATTTTCTTCACTTTCTGTTCGTTCCATTGCTCTGCGAGGGGTATAACTGACCTGATCATCTCGCACGAACATGGTTCGTCCCGTATGATGAGTATAAGAAATGTTGACTTTTAATGATCTCCCCCAGTGTGTGTATGCTAGGTTGCTCAATTACAATCACATTCACTCGTACTCAATAAAGTTAAAAACACATACTTCAATTTACAAACTATCTTATGCTGAATTTTGATTTGAAGTCTTCATCAATCTAGAGTACGATTTTTCTGAAATGTTAGACCACACAAGAGCAAAAATAATTCTTCCAAAAAATGTTAGGAGAAAATAATAATTAAAATAATAACATTTGGAATCATCAAAATTATACAAGTTGCAAAAATGTAAAACATGCAAATAGCAACTCTCTTAACAATCTCCCCTTTTTTATGATGGCAAAACAATTATTGTTTGTATAATTTTTAAATTCTTAAATATCTCATAAACTTCCCCTGAATTGATAAGCATGTGAGAACAATGGGCATTTGAACTTAAAAAAAAGTTTTGTTTTTAAAATTTTTGAACACACAGAACAGAACATATGATCACTAGAACATAAAGCACGACAACGATAAAACAATGATAAAACAAATGCAACGAGATAGTTAAGAAATAATATTTATCCCCTTTTTGACAACAGCAAAAAGAGAAAAAGAAAAAGAACAAAAACAGAAATGTAAGTCATATGATAATCCTTTGATAATTGATCCTTGAAAGAGATTTGAGATATATTTATAAATATAATTAAATATCATTAGAGAGATAGAAGAATTCATATGATGTAAGAAGAGATATAACATAGATAAGAAAAAATATAAAAAACATGAATCAATTTAAACAATGAAATAAACAAAATCATTGCAAAGTAGATGAATGTATAATTTCTATATTTCAAATTTCAATACGAAATAAAATTATACAGAAGATCAATTTGAACTGAAAGATTGAAAGATTGAGGAAAGAATCAACTACCATATGTGGCGCTTTACGCATCTTTTCAATATTTTTGTGGCACATTTTTGTGCAATTTTTTAACTTGTGGGCTTATTTTGTTTCTCTTTTTTAATTTACGAAACCATTGCGAGTTCTTTTAATTTTTGTACATTTGTACATTTTTAAGAGTAATCTTGATCATTCCAAAATCAATAATCTAAAATTTTAAATTTCTCTAAGTATAACAATATTTATATTGATACGAGAAATATAAAAATAAGAAAATATCATAATTATAATAATAATATTAAAATTATATTAATCTAACAAGAAACATGAGATTGATATTCTTAACTAGATCAAATTATAATCACAACTTAAAATATGAAACATTAAATTTTCTAATAAATTTAATTTAGAGTTGCAATTCAAGATATAGCACTTGTGAGATCAAATATTTTGAGAAAGATCATATAGTCTAAAATACATTTCTAAAATGAAATCAAAGATAGTAAAACAAGACATGATAACTTTTATTGATATCATTGATAAAAGATAATACATTTAAGCAAAAATGATATCAATACAAAACATAAAACCAACTAACACATAAAACTGAAAAAATTGTATGCAAACCGTTCAAATCCGACAGTTAATACACTACACAATTCGTCCCGTACAAAATGAATTTCGTACAGACGATTATCACTAAAATTTTAAGAAAGACAAAAATTCAAAACATGATTCTAGATGTGAGAGAACACAAAAACAAAACACACAGAAGTTCGCAAAAACAAACAAAAACAAAACAAAAGAAAAAATACATAAAAACACAAAATCAAAGGACTTACAAAATACTAACAAAAACACACATCAAATTGCATAATCATTTTTATTTAAGCATTCAAGTCAATCACAACAAGCCTTGTTTTTAATGTACTGAAAGTATCAAAGGCTAGTGATTTTGTAAAAATATCTGTAAGTTAATTTTCTGTTGTAACATGAATGAATTTAATTTCTCCTTTGGATGCATGATCCCTTATGAAATGATGTCTGATGTCTATATGTTTGGTTCTTGAATGTTGAATAGAATTTTTAGAAATGCAAATAGCACTAGTGTTATCACAATAAACGGGAAGAGTGTCTATAGTTAATCCTAAATCAATCAATTGTTGTTTCAACCAAAGTACTTGTGTCACACAACTTCCTAATGCAATGTATTCAGCTTCAGCAGTCGATAGGGCTACTAAAATTTATTTTTCTACTAGACCAAGAGACTAAAGAATTTTCAATAAATTGACATATTCCAAAAGTGCTCTTTCTATCAACCCTATAGCTTGCAAAATCAGAATCTGAATAACCAATTATTTCAAATGAAGAGCTAAACTTAGGATACCAAATTCCTAACTTTTAAGTTCCCAACGTATACCTTAAAATCCTTTTCACTGTTGTCAAATGTGATTCTTTTGGATCTGATTGAAATCTAGCACATAAACAAACATTAAACATGATATCGGGTCAGCTAGTTGTCAAGTAAAGTAAATATCCAATTATCCCTCTAAATTTTTTTTTATCAACAAATTTTTCCTTAGGGTCCTTATCCAACTCAATTGAGGAATACATGGGTGTATTACCAGGTTTAGCATTATCCATTTCAAACTTTTTAAGGATGTCCTTAACATATTTCGACTGATTAAGAAATGTATCTTCCTCAATTTGCTTAATAATAAAGCCTAGAAAGTAAATTAAATCTCCCATTAGACTCATTTCAAATTCAGTACTCATTGTTTTAGAAAAATCATCATAGAGATTTTTATTTGAAGATCCAAAGATGATGTCATCAACATAGATTTGTACAATGAGTACATGCTTTCCAAATTTCTTTAAAAATAGAGTTGTATCCACACTTCCTTTTTCAAAAGATCTATCAAGTATGAAGGTGCTCAACCTCTCATACCAAGCCATAGGTGCCTGTTTCAATCCATATAATGCATTTTTCAGTTTGAAAATATAATTTGGGTGTTTAAAATTTTCAAAGCCTGGAGGTTATTTTACAAAAATATAATTTTGAATTACTCCATTTAAAAATGCACTTTTAACATCCATTTGGTACAATTTAAATCCTTTAAAACAGACAAAGGCTAATAAAACCCTAATTGTTTTAAGTCTAGCTATAGGGGCAAAAATATCTTCAAAATCAATTCGTTCAATCTGATTATACCCCTTAACCACCAATCTAGCCTTATTTCTAATAACTACTCCTAAGTCATTCATTTTGTTCTTGAATATCCACTTAGTTCCTACTACACTTTGTTCTTTTGGCCTTGCAATTAATTCTCAAATTTCATTTCTTACAAATTGATTTAACTCTTCTTGCATAACCAAAATCTAAAATTCATCCGAAA